AGGTAAACAAACACCCCATTTCTTTAATAACCATCTAGTTTATTAGACAGTCAGATGAGTCCCTTACCTCATCCATCATTTTTATTTTTATTGTGCAGGCACTAGATGTGTGTTTGAATGTGTGTACTTAAGGGACCAGGAATGAGAGACCTTTTTATGAATCTGAACATGTATTTCTCAGAAGGCCATTACTAGGGGAAAACTGTTGCATAAATAATGTACAACTGCCCATGTCTAAGCCCTGTTTTTCTGCAATAGCTCATGGCTTCAGAGACACTACTTTTAAAAATGTTTTAAAGAGTGTTAGAAGCAGTCAAGAGTAAAGAGGAAAACCCAGCATTTTAGAGCTAAGCAGTTAAGGTTAAATGGATATTTCTGCCAGTGACTCTCTCCTTTCTGTGTGCATGCATTCCCTATCTTTTTTTTTTCTTTTTTTTTTCTGTCATTGGATATGTTGTAATTTGGATTTGCTGTCTCCTGAAGGTTTCACTCCTCAGCAACAGCAAGTTGGCAAGTGCTCAGCTTCTTTGCTTATGGTTGTCTTAAGTTAAAGCAGAGGTGACAGAAAATGGGAATGTGACAGTGATGTTTGTTGTTTGTTTTTTGGGTTTCTTTTGGGGGGGGGGTTGTTTGTTTGTTTGGTTTGGTTTTTAAAAGGTGTAATATTATTGTTGGTCCTGGGAAGGCTGTTTGTGTCCCACTGACTTTGCTGTCTTAAATGTTCTCTCTCTAAATGCTTAATCTTGGGAAAGAAGGAAAACCTTTTTTTCTTTATCTTTCTGTGCCTGCAACCCCCATTAACTCAAACAGGGAATATGCTTTTAAGTAAGTACCCTGCATATATAATAAATATATGCTTCTTTCTAAGATGACAGCTTAATTTCATAGCTGGCATTAAACCTTCTCACTTGGCTATAGGCTTTCACTATCCTCCATAAACTTGGCTTTGGCAACAACAGCAAAGTTTCCAGTAAGAAGTCTGACTAGAACAGGCTGGCTTCAGTGTCCTGGAGCTGGGATAGCATTTGACGGTCCCTTCATTACCCGCGAGACCATCTTTCAGGGTGACAGTGTATGCAGTTCACGCCAAGTCCCATACTAGGGAAGATGAGAGTATGAATTTCCCAGGTGATTTTTCTGGCTGATAAAATACACTCCAACTGTTAATATTTATGTTTATTTTTTAAGGGAATTAAGTGCTGTTAGAATGGTAGCCTGGAGGAAAGGGCCTCTCTGAAGGCTAGTGCTAGTTAATAGGTTCTTATGCTTAGCAGACAGATGTCACTGAAGGAACTTTCCATAAGGCTGTTGTCAGAGCCTCCGCTTACTGTCAATGTGTTTGCTATTCTCATCTCCTCTAGCTGAGGGAAGGTATGGTGGATCTGGAAGGGGTTCAGAGAAAGAAGTGGTCAGCTGGGCCTCTTCAGCATGTAAAAGAGATGAAGTAGGAGTCTGTAAAGCAGTGAGAGGCAAGGAGGGAGACTGTTCACTGTTTCATCCTCCAGAAGAACTAGGGTCAGCAAATAAAACTAGTTGGAGCCAGGTTTAGATCAAACCAAAGGATGTGTTCTGTTCCACATATAACATGTATTCAAGCCACAGAACTAAATGTAGGACGTCACGGTCAATATAAGTTTATGAGAGGAGACATGGCAAACTGGTAGAAGGGAAAAACCATTGCTACTGACTAAATACAAACTCCATGTCTGCCTCTGCAAGTTTCTGATCCACAACTGATTGAGACATGAAGTATGTGGGGGAAAGAAGTACATGCTTGTCCTTTTCCTCCGTCCTCTTCTAAACTTCTGCTTTTGGCCATGGCTGGAGGTGAAACAGACAAGTTGGGCCTTTGGTTTGCCCACAGTATGTCGGTTTTATATTCTTCAGAATGTAATGGAATAGATGAGACTTTCACAGTAGCTACTTCTAAACGTATGCTAGAAATGAGAAAAATCTGATCTCCCTGCTCTCATTGCTAATGCCAGGCCACAAAGGCTGGTGATGCTGGTGGATTTTACATCATTAAATATATTTGATACCAACTGCACAAAACCTGTAAGGTTTGTTTCACTCAGCCTCTAACCACCCTTCAAACAGGAGTGACTACCAATTAGTTGAGTATTCTGGTGGTAAATGCCATGACTATTTAATTCCCACAAATTTCTGTTTAATACATGCGAAGATATTTTGCCATTTTTTATGGCATAATACAAACATAAGTGTGTACATTTATCCTGTGTAATTTGCATACCTAACTGCAAATGTATGCAAAATAAGATGCTATCTCATTAAACGATATTTGTTCTCTGGGGGTTTATTTCAATAAAAGTGTCACATTTTTTTGTTCGGACATACAAAACCCCTCTGCTTTATTTCTTCAGTCATTTTTAGTGCTAGTTTTGCAAGACTCAAAGGACTTGAGAGATCTTGGTTTGACTTTGTGCACTCAGGAAGCTTTGGGGATTTCAATAGAAAAATTCCTGGAATGTAGTTCTCTTAAGCAGAATTTTTTTTCCTTTTACTCCTTACATGAAATGATGATAAGGAATTCTGCCCATGTTCTTGCCTTCCCCAAGCTGCATGAATGATCCTCCTCACCTGAGGGGCAAGGTGTGAATTGCTGCCGGCAGACCGCGGGTAAGCGGGGGCCCCTCATGATGTAAGTGGTTTGTTAAGGAACCTGCAGGCCTCTTGCTCAATGACTTCTCTGTCCATGTACAGTTTGGGAACAGTCATGGGGCCTTTTTTTCAGATGTGAAATCTGTCAGCAAAGTGAAGTCAGCTTAAATATCAGCTGAGGCTTGAGCTCTCTCTCAGGTTTTGTTGACTTTATCCCCTCCTGCTCCTTCCTGATCAAGTTTCTCTCTGCTTGAGTCAGACTTGCCGACACTTAGAAGTTTTTAGTCTGTGTTTCAGTTGTGGGTTTGTGTGTAGCAAAGTTCAGGTGCCTTTCGCATTCCCAGCCTCAACAGTGATCTGAAATGCTGAGGAGAGGGAGACCATGTGGGGTCTTTGAGACTCTTTAGATGGTACAGTTCAATTAGAAACGAGTAAAAGTGCCTCTGGTACCCAAAGCATGGGTTCAGACTTAAACAGGGGAAGTTCAGGTTAGATATAGGGAAGAAGTTCTTTACAGTGAGGGTGGTGAGGCACTGGAACAGGTTACCCAAGGAAGTTGTGAATGCTCCATCCCTGGCAGTGTTCAAGGCGAGATTGGATGAGGCCTTGAGCAGCCTGGTCTAGTGGAAGGTGTCCTTACCCATGGCAGGGGGTTGGAACTAGATGATCTTAAGGTCCTTTCTAACTCTAACTATTCTATGATTCTACAATGCTGTGCAGATCTGCTAGAGAGTTTTGTGATGTACCTGCTGCTACCAAGCAGAGGAATTCTAGTTGCTAATCAGCACCTCTTCTGTTATGCAGCTATGGAACACAAGTTGCTGTCTGCACCAGGATTTTTCACCAAAATATAAGGCACAACTGATGAGGCACAGACAGGCAGGCAAAATGTATGGAAACAGTGAGTGTGTGAGAGCTGTGTGTCGAGCAAGTCCCAGGGGCAGGGTGCTGAAATCATGCCACGTCTCCTGGCTGACTGTGCAAACATATGCAGGTTTGGGATGAACCTGTGGTGCCATTGCCTGTCAGTGTTGAAGCACTTTATGTACTGAAAGCTCGAGGGGATTCTTGGCTGTGGCAAGGAATTTCAGATGATGTGGCTTATTTATAAGAAGAAAAGAAAAAAGACAGTAAACTCAGAGGGAGAGGAAAGCTAGGCAAGGAGAGAACTGCTTCTGTTTTTTGTCACTCTCCTAAGGATAAAAGCTAGGAGTTATATTGTCATTTTTATACCTTAGACTTAGACATGTTTTACGTCCTGTGGTCAGCTGCCTTGGCTGCTTTCTGTCCTATGTGCATGCTTTTTTTATTTTCTGTGATACCTTCAGTGGTTTCCAAAGTTGAAATAATTTTACTACTCTCAAAGGGTCAGAATATTTGAAGACTTGTGACTGAGAACAACTGGCTGTCGAACCAAATGGGTCTTAACGTCCCGCAGGTGTCTGTGCACTGATTCCCCCTTTAATGGCTGGTCCACATAAGAGGCAGCAGCCTGGCATCTCTCCATGCATCAGTCACACCTCTGCAGGTGGTGGCTGAAGAGGTAGTGTTAGGGCTGAAGGTGCCAGACTGGCTGCAGAAGCCGCTTGTGGGCTTCTTTCTGTTCTTGGTGTGTGCCATCTGTGCACTCTGTTCTCTGGTTGATGATGTCTTTGGAAATAACCTTTTCAGTGTCATAAACTATTAAGGGACAGAATCCTATCTACCCTTTGGTAGGAAGCATTGTTGGGTGCCCTCTGTTTTTCAGGTGAGGACAAAGGGGAGGTGTGCTAGAGAGGTGAGGGCAGTGCAGGTAGAATGGGATATCTCTTTTTGTACCTTGATGAGGTGTGTGCAGGTGCTCTCTGCACCGGATAAGACAGTGTTAAAACATAACCTTCTGCCCTTCTTGGAATTACATTGGAGAGTTGGTATGGAGAAGGAAGAGTGCATTGCAGTCTGGAAAAGCTACAGTGGAGCACGGAAGGGTGTTTGTCTTCTTTTTTTAACTGGAAAATACAAGTCACAATCTAGGATCTCTCAAGTATGTGAAAATATAATCTGGGAAATGCTTACCCCACGGCTGCAGTAATAGCGAATTCTCGTTATCTGATAGGCCTATTCCAAGATCCAGGTGAACAGGAACAATTTTTCCTGCTGTTCCTGGCTTGCAGTCAATGTCTGTAATCCATAAGCTTGTGTCACAGCTAAATGTAGGAGGAAGCTCTCAATCCAGAAGCCTATGAGTCCCTAGGGATGTAGACATACTGATGTTTGCTGAGAAGGAAACAGACACAAAGCTCTCCTGATGTGAAGGGTACCTGTATCCTGTTGAACTGAGGAAGGTGATACTGATTTGATTGTTTTTCTTCACCCCCTTCAACCTCCCTCCCATCTTCCAGAGAAAGTTCACTCCTGTGACCAGGAAAGGCAGAGTGCCTTGGAGGAGGCCAGGCAGAACCCCCGTGAGGGTATTGTCATCCCTGAGTGCGCACCCGGAGGGCTCTACAAACCAGTGCAATGCCACCAGTCGACTGGGTACTGCTGGTGTGTCCTGGTGGACACAGGACGTCCCCTGCCTGGTACTTCCACTCGGTAAGAGCTGTAGACCTGGTGAGATACTCGGCCTGGAGAAGATGAGATATAAAACAATACTGTTGCTATATCAGATAAGTTCCTACTTCTCTACTGCCTTCCTTAGAGCTAGCAGTGCCGTATGTCACATTCCCTACTGAATGTGCAGCTCTCTGTCTATATGAGCTGGTGAATAGTAACTGCTGCCCTTACTTTCCTCTGTGTTAAATATTCATGCAAAGCAGCCTTTTTTTTTCCCCTGGCTTTAATCTTTTGCATGGTAGCAGGAACCAGGGCTTTTCTCTAGAGCGCAGATCAGAGGCATGAGCAATGAAAAGATAAGTGACTTTTTTGCATTATCCTCTTCTTTATCCTTCCATGCTGCAGCCACTTGGATCCTGACCAGCAGAGATTTAGAAGACTGCTTGGTTGTGCATCGATAGATTTTAAGCCAGTGATAGATTTTTCTTTAAGTTACTCTGTATGTTAAAACTACCTGGGGAATCTTTTCTAACTTGGGTTTGGAAACTAACTGTGGGTCTGGCACGTTATGAAAAGAGGCCAGTAGGAGTTGGGACCTAAACTCTGCTAGATACAGTGATTCTGCAGAGCACAGGCAGCCTTGGAAAAAGCTCAGTCAGTGCCCACAGGTTTTGGAAAAGGGTCTAGTGTGCTGTTTGTGGATTTGGGTTTGTAACCGGTACTGAACTTCAGAGCATGCTCTTCCTTCTCTCTCCACTTCCGTTGCTGACTGTCCATAAGCAGACAGATTCTTGGGAATAATATTTCTTCTGCAGGTTTATTAGTTTCCTTTGCAGTAAGCAGATAAGATACAATCCCTTAGCAACCATCTGACAACACTAAAGCTATATCACAGTTTAGCATCTGCTGTTCTCCTTTTTCAGCTACGAGACCCCAGTGTGTGAAAGCGATGCCAGGTCGAAGAGCACAGAGATTGATGATCCGTTCAAGGACAGAGAACTTCCAGGTCAGAGAGAAACAAGATCCTGTCTCTGCCTTCTTCTCTCGTCTCACCTTGGGACTCTTTAAAAGGCTAAGAGTATTGTTGAGGACATAGGGGATTTCCCTCACCATGCATGTTTCACCATGGGTTTTATTCTGTGTTATTTTGGATCACCTCCAGTTTCAGCAGCGAACTGGGAAAAACTTAGAGTGTCCTTGGGTCCAGTTCATTGCCTGTCTGCCCTTTGAAAACATATCTGGGATCATAATTTTCAGGAAAAAAACCTGGATACCTGGAAGTCTCCTGGGGAAGAACAGGCTCAGCATTGAAACTTCTTCTTCAAAGCCTGGCTGGGACAGGTTCTTTTTTATTTAGCAGGGCTTTTCAGCAGCTTGATGCCCCCTAAGCAATTAAAGAGGACACAGCTGGCAATTCTCAGTGAACCAACAAGCTCCCTGACACTGCAGCACTGTTTCTGGTGCACTAAGGTCCCTTAACTGGCTCCTTACTTAGCTGGGCTTTATCCCTCATTTTCTTCCTGGGACCTGCTTTATCTCCCATTGCTGCTTTTTTTATATTATGCTTTTCCCTCTTAACAGAGTGACAAGCCATAATTTACTGTTTGCCCACCCTGTTTCTGCTAGGAAATGTTTGGGGCATAGGTGTCTGTACAGCTCTTAAAAATGTTATCCTACCTGCCTATGCTCTGTTTTTTCCTTCCGGTTGCCTTTCTAAGGAGCAGAATGAGTGGCCCTCACTGACAGGTCAGCCATTGCCCTCCTGGGTGGGAGCTGACTGCTTGGAAACAGAAGCTACAGTGGGACCCTCTCCACTGTTAGGGAGTGGTAGAGACCAAGAACTCGGCAGAAAGAGCTGACAGTTCTGGATCCACTTCGTTTTCTCCTGGTCCTTTCTAAGGCTAGCATAAAGTGAGTTAACAAAGAGCAGGTTAACAAAGGAAGTGAGATTTGTTCCAGATTTGCCTTGTGTCTCCTAGTTCTCCTCCTTCCAGTTCCTGACCTCAGGCCCTGTAGCTTTCTGCTTAGCAACTCTGCCCTCAGCAGGGCTCTCTTCTGCGCAGCTTCTCATTTTCACCAGTCATGTAGAAATTTCCTATCTGCCTTTCTTTCACATTTGAATAAAATTGGCCAATTGGTTCAAGTATTACTTTGGGTGTAGGGGGAGGGAAATCAGCTAAATGATTGCATTAAGCCTAATTTCCTTAGGAAATCATGCTAAAATAGAATAACTTTACTTCCTTTCTTCAACATCCCTTCTCCCCTTGCTTTACTGTCTCTCCTTGCATTTCCCCCTGCCTCTCCAGAACTCCATTGTGAAAATCCTTTGCTCTCGGGCTTTTTCTTTGAGACTCTTCTTCTGATCTCAGGAAGACAGAATGGTCTTGTTTCCCTTCTTCCTCCCCTTCTGCACTGCAGCTTGACAAGGGGACAGGAACTGCTTGTTGCAGAAGAGGACGCATGATGCTCTGTAGCCTAGTGGTCTAGCCCCAGCATCAGACTCCAGGAGCATTCCTCTCCCAGCTCCAAGCCACTTTTCTGTGTCTGAGTAAACTTTCAGCTCCCTACTTGGCTGCATTGGCTGGCATGATGGTTCCTATCACTGAAAATTCCTTTGTCTATGGAGAGATTAGAAGATGGAGGATCTTATCCTGGTGTGTCTGCCTGATCTTTTGGTGCAGACTTGGTTTGTTTGATTAGCTGCTCTCGTATGCAGAAATTCCCTGGTGAGACAGAACAGCAGGGGTGAGAGATGATGCTTCTTTTTTTTATTTTCTTTCACTCTTACTTCTTAGCAGAACTGAATTTCAAGAAAAAAATTTTGCTTTAATTTGAGGTGATCATTCCATTTGCACTCAGTTCTGTAAGGGCACCCCATACCTTATTCCATTTCTAGAGGTTTGCCCATTCTTCAAACTCTCAGTGCTGCAGGCAGTGTGCTGCTTGGCCTACATGAAGAGACCCTGCAGAGGCCAAGGTGAGGGAGCTGTAAGTCCAGATCCTCGCACACCTACACATACCCTGTTCACAACTGTGTCATGGCTGTGGCCAGAAGAAAGAAAGAAACAAGAAAGTGTTGCTTGCACATAGCAAATGGCAAGTTGCTAATTCCTGCAGACGGTGAGATGCTGAGGCCCCAGGGAGATGACTTCTAGCAAATGGCTTTTCAACCTTCTCATTACTTCAACAAAAAGCTCCTTTAAGTGAGTGGTCTACTCTGGCTGCCATAGCAGCTTACCCATTACAATGCTGACATTTTCTGGACCATGTGCCAAACGAGTGCTGAAGGGTGTGCATAATAAGGAGACAGGCGAGAGACTGTTGGTTAGCTATTGCAGAGAACAGAGCCTGTAATGCTGCAAAGGAGGGAGTTTTGTCAGATCAATTTGCAAGCTGCTTTCAGCTGTCAAGGGATTACAGTAAGTTTGTGGTGTTCTGTTTGGGGTACACGTGCTTCTCTGCTTGCCTGCAAAAAGCAGAAGTGTCGATGCTGCAGCATGTTACTGGGGAAGGCTGTTTTCTGACCTCTGCTGTCTTCATCAGCTGACTAACGTAGTGCATGGGTGGTTTGGGGAAAGAGAAGAGGTGAGAGATGTGGTGACGGCTTCTCTGTCGCATCAAGAGAAGACAACAGGATGGGAGGTGAAGGGTTTTGGAAAATAGCTTTGGAGGTGGTGGGTTGAAGTTAAGTATACTCATTCCTTGGTGGGCGAGAGCAAAACGAAGCATGCTTTTGCTCCTTTAAGAAGCAAGGAAGCAGCATAGATTGCCTCATAAAGGTGAGGAGATGGAGAATTTCGTCTCAGCTGTGTCATGACAGGCTGGCACTGTTAAGGGTAGGAAGCTCTGTCAGTCTGCGGTTATGATGATGGCGAACTAGACAGCCTCAGCAGTAAGTAATGGAAACAGTTACCAAGCTCGCTTTCAGCTCACTTTGTCCTGCTTAAGCCAGCAGTGGCTGGGGGTGATTACCACGTGTTGATTTAGACTGACGTATTTCCCATGCAGTGTGATCATGCAAAGAACTGAATTATTGTGGTAGCTGCTGGCAGGCAATGCTGTGCCTGGAGAGGGGAGTGCAAGCAGCAGTCCTCGCTTTGGCCTGTGCTTTGGGAAGCATTAAGCTGTCAGTTAGGACCTCAGAACAGCCACATTTGCAGAGGAAGATTACCCAGGAGGTAATGAGTTGTTTTGTAAACTTCTCTGCAGGTGTCACCATGGGAGCTACCATTTGCCAGGCACTTCCAGCACATCCCTGGAGTTACGCTGGTAGAGAACTGGGAGAGGCCATAAAGCTAACTACATGGTCTTCCTGCCAGATATTGTTGGTGACCCTGTGTGTGCCCGGACAAAAGCTGCAGGACAAATTGCCACACAGAGAAACCCACTGAGGGATTCTTCTGCCTTTCCTGTGATGATGACTGCCATGTTACGAACAAAGGCAGTTCTGGCTGAACTGGGGTAAAGAGACCAACCCTGTGCGTTCTTGCATTAAATGTCCTCTTTTCTTTCTACAGGCTGCCCAGAAGGGAAGAAAGTTGAATTTATTACCAGCTTACTTGATGCTCTGACTACGGACATGGTACAGGCTATTAACTCGGCAGCACCTACTGGGGGTGGGAGGTGAGTCCAGAAAGTGCTCAGGCTGAATGCCACCAAGGTGGCTGCAGAGCCCTGGGTGCCCCTGAGGTGGGGGCAGGAGAGAAGGCTGTTGCTTTGCCTCTGATTCAGGTTCCTCTGGGTTGCCGCGAAAGGAGCTGAGGCTGCATCTTCATACACTGCTCTGTCCTATCATCCTACCCTGTCTGCCTCCTCCTGCCCCCGCTCCCTGGCAGCTGCTCCACCATAAAGGTTACTATAGCCCATTTGAAGTGTGAAATGAGAGCTCAGTGGGAGGAAGTGGCTTGTTCTTTTGTCCCCTGGTGCATGAAAAGACCTAATAAAATGCAAATGGATTGAAGGAGACCGTGTGGCCTAGTGGCTACCACAGGGAGTGAAGAATGCGAACCGAATTCTTGGCAGTACCAGCACTGCGGTTTTGCTGTGGGGCTGGAGCCAGCCAGCCGATGAGGAGAGGAGTTGTTTTTCATGGCCCTCCCCTCGGACCAGCTGCCTGTCCATCCCTCTTGGTAGGAGCCAGCAGGTCAGGCCCATTGCAAGAGGTGGTCAGAAGTATGCGTTGCTGGGGAAGGAGAAAAAAAGTTGAGGTCTTGTCTCCCCCTTCTGCTTGATAACAGCAAATCCCCTTAGTGCAGCTGCAATGCTGCAGCAGGACAGGCCATTTTGAACGGACTGTGTTGAACTTAAAAGAAGTGCTGTGTTGCTCGGCTAGGCTACGCTGCTATGGTTCTGGATTCCCCCACTTGTAAGAGAAGTCAGTTGTAGTTTAGCATGTAGGGATGCCACGATGACTGATGTGCTCATGTTCATAAGGGTGTAGAGATGAAGGAAGTGCCTCTGTGCATGTGTTGCTTCCATGGGTATTGCTCCAACGTACTGAGAGTAGTGTTGATCCCCTCCTTTCCTCTTTGAAAACTTTGAAGGAAGCAGTACCATCTTGTACTATTCAAGATGAGAACTTCATGGGTGGTACTTCTGTGCCCCTTGGTTTTAGTATGGATTGTTTGTAAACCCATATGGTTTTAACTTTGCATTTGGACCTTACAAATCGGGTCATTGGCTGGGTGCCTGCACGCTGAATATTCTGTAACCCATCGAATTAGCAGTATACGCCTAGCATGTCTGTATTCATATAAACAGGATGAAAAATGCCCCAAGGATGGGAAATACGTCGTTCTCTCCCAGCCGTAAGCATTCCAATGTCAATTCTGTCTTAATTTGCATAGTTCAAATACAGTGGGTATGGGTGGCAGGAAGCCCTGGAGAGTATTTGATATTTATTTGGCATCCTTGGCACTGGGACTGAAACCCAGCCAATGTAATCATCACTCTTAAAATAAAGCTTAATATAATCCAATATTGTAGAGACCAGAGATGTATGTCCCCACTGCACTTCTATAAACCAGCAGGCTTGCTTACTAATGTTCCCCAAGCTTTGTGTATTTCTCAGCTTTCAATAGAGGCCCTTCTGGTAGAATTTTTCACTGCCCAGCTCTTCACGCAGTCGTCATGTTGATTTATTTTCAGCTCCAGTGTCGGCAGCCCAGTTGCAAGGGGAAAAAGAAATCTTTTAGCAGGCTGTCCTGTGTAAGGTGAAAGACTGCTACCACCCAAATACTCTGCCTGCCACAGCCACGATGTAATTCAGGAAACTGCTCTAGCATAAACCTCTCTGTGCATCAGCTAGGCTAAATGCATACCCCAAAGAATCTGTGTCAAACTTTTCCATCCCTCTATGTCATGATGGAACCATTTATTTTTGGGGGGGGAAAAAAAAGCATTTCAAGGAATTCTTTTGGTAATGACAAAAATTTAATCAGTACAGCTTTCATTTCATATGAGTTTGCATAGTTAGGAGGCTGTCTCTGTGCAGTAGGTGCTGCTTTCCAAGTTTCCCAAAGGGAGGAACATCATGAGTCCTCTCTTCAGGAATATCTGAAATTGTCTGGGTGACCTAACGTAACTTTGGCACTGGAAATGAAAGCTCTTTTCCAAGGTGAAGGGATATTTTACCTATAGGGTTAATCATAGGGCTAATTAACTTACAACCTTAACAACTAACAAAATACTGCATTTATGACAGTGCTTATCATCTATCTCCCCGGCCCAGGTTTGCTGAGAAGATCATGCTGAAAAGAAAAACTAGGGATCTGGCTATCTGATTTTTCTTAATGTCAGTCATGTCAGTTTTAATGTCTTAATGTCAGTTTTCTTATTTGTGAGGCAAGCTTCACTTATTGCAGGCTCTTCTTCATCTTTGCCATAATGATGGCAAAACAGGTTCTGCATTTAAACACATGCTGTTACCCTCTGTAGCCTCCTTCTTTCTGTTCCTTTACAGTGTTCAGCATTTCAACCTCCTGGGCTTTTTTTAGAGTTTGAGCAAATGCATCCAATGATCCAAGGTAAATTTGTGACATATCACCAGCAAAGCTTATGCCTGTTGCAAGGAGGCCGCCCTGGCAAACAGCAAAGCCATACCTCCATGTCAGTTGACCCCATATGTTGTCCTGTGTATTTTACTCAATCAGAGAAGCAGCAAGTAGGAATTTTAGGGAAGGGGAGGGAATATTTCTGTTTCTCTGTGGCAGCAGAGAGATGATACTGGCATATGATATGTGTCTTTAGTCAACATTAAAATACAGGACTAAATGCAGAGAAGAGCCTTTCCAAAAGTGTCAAGGACTGAAAAAGCCTAACTCAGCCTTCCTTAGAGTATTGAAAGAAAGGGAAAATAAGGTTGAAAGATGCTTTTGTATAATCTGAGTATCTCCACAGGGACAAAAGCTCTGCAAGGTCTTTAGTCTAGCAGGAAAGAACATGATTAGCTGAATATAAACAAACTTGTGATCAAAATTTCTTTAAAGTGAGGGCAATTCTAAGGCAGAATAAAATCATGAGGTAGGTGACAGATTCCCTCTCTCTAAGGCTTTCATCTTAGGCCTGATGCCTTTCAGAAAGATTTGCTTTGGTCAAACCCAAGTTATAGTCCAAAGAGTAATTTGATTTACATTCTGAGAGCATGATATACAGGAAATCAGATTAGATTACCCTGCCGCCTTCAGTCTGAATCTGGATATGTGACGGAAAACGTCTTGCGTTTGCCCGGTGTCTTCAAGACTTTACTTATTTATGCTGAAAAGCTGTCTGTGGCTTTGCAATTAACATCCATATTAGCTTTTTGGGAGAAGGAAGGGAGGAGCATGGGAAGACATGAGAGAGATCTGCATTTAAAATACTACACAGAGCTGTGCTAAATTGCACACTTTATACTTGGCACACACAAAAACAATCTAGTAGCACCAAAGTGAGGCTGTACGACTTGGTTTGCTGCAGGCCATGTAAGTAAACCTGATAAGACCTTTTTTTTATTGGGCATGCTTAAAACAACCTTGTAATCCCTTATAGGTCTTGTCTCGTTTAAGCAAGTTCAAAGCTATTGACTTTAATTGAGTTACTCTTGCTTTACAATAATGTAAATGAGATGAGAACTTCCCTTCCTCATGGCCCTGGTTTATATTACAGCAAAATAGCCAAGTAGACTTCATTTAGACTTTTGAAACAGAAAATCTCTGGTAAAATTCATTCTTAATTTTAAGTTTACGTAATAACTCCAAGGCACATCTTGTTACTGTATGTTTTCAAAGTAATTAAGGGAGCGCTTGTAGGAAATAGGTTTATTAACCAGTGTTTGGTATCCTTTCTGAAAAAACACATAGCTGAAATTGTTCAGGTATAAATCCTATATAATAAGAGCAGCACTTTTTAAAATTTAGACTTTGCTTAGGTACATTTTAGTCCGTTTTCTAATTCAGACTCATTCATATTTTAGCCTGTTTTCTAACTCAGACATGTTCAGACATACCAAAGACTAAAGGGGATCCCAACCTGGGTTTCCTTAGTCTGAGGAACTCTCTTTGGCCCCTGCCAATTCAGAAATGAATTTTAGTTGCCAAAATGTGTGCACTATGGCTTGCTACACTATCAGCAAAAATATTACTGCCTTATGGAATTTAGGGTTAAAAGGGCAGCTTACAACACCCACCCTTATCATGTAACACAGCAGCTGCATCCCTTCATTTTAAGTTGCCAATTATTTCCCATGTAATAGCCCTAAAAAGTGCTTCAGAAAATTGCCCCCGAGGTTCCCTTTCATGGTCTAGTTGAGAAGTTTGAAGCAGGCAAGCACAGCTCAGCACATCTCCAGGGTGTTCTGAACCCGAGCCATACTTTAATAAAGATTGACACTTTCAAATAGTGCAGGGAAGTTAATGCTCAACTATTGCATTTCAATTGAAGTTGGGTATCAACTTTTCTTTGTGCTCCTGTGGAAATTCTAGCCTAATTAAAGATACGGGAGAGTTCATGTAAGAGGAGGGTCTTTGAACAGTCAATGAGGAGTGAAGGGAGGTGATTTTTAAAGCTCCTAAATGATTTATCCCACAATCTTCAGAGAAGTTGTGTTCAGAATAATGTTTCAGACACAACCTAGCCGGAGGAGAGGAAGAAACTGCATCTGTAATAGGAAGATAACTTAAGTTTTAACTGTAGAGGGATTATGCATTCTCCATAATGAATTTGGACTGTGTAGTACTCTTTTGTTTAGTCTGAAGACAGCTTAATTTTTGTTGGCTTCTTGATTCTTTGGCTACAGGAAAGGAAGAATAATAAAACAAATACAGGATCCTTTTGCAGTTCCATTAGAGTAATCCTCTTTGATTCAAGCCATGCTCCACTGTTACAGCCTTTAACTTTAGAATAGACAACCACAAAGAACAAGGAAGGGAGTGTAAGAAGTGGAAGCAGAGCAAGAACAATTCTGAATTTTGCCTCATTTTGTTAAACTTATCATTTTCCACCACTCCCTGCAGGCGCCTTGGTGAACATCATCAATGCCATCATGGGCATTGACTGGCAGGGTCAGTCCTGTCATTTCTTTAGCTTCACTCTCATCCATTCTTCATTCAGCAACAGTTCCAAGCAAGGTATACATCCTTGCATAATATTTTCAAGTTGTAGAAACTTACTTAACTCATGTATACATCCTGAGCACAAACATACCTTGTGTGTCAGCAGTGGAAGCTGGGCTTACTTTTTTTTTCCTACTCTGTTGCTTCTGCTAGCAGCTTCTTGTCCATCAGTGTTCTTTAGTCCTGGAATAGCTCCCTCTGGTTTATAATCTCGGCAGTCCAGTTAGGCAATGTTAGGCTGGTCTTTCCTCCTTCTGCCTCCAGTGCTATTTCTGCTACATAAAGTCTGTATTACAAAAGAATAGGTTTTCTAAAGTTCTTCAAACAGCTGATCATCAGCTGGGTACTTCAGAGATTGCAACCTTGCTTTCTGTCAAAGCAGTATTTTGTATTAGGATTTTCTGTCACTGCACAACATTCTGGGTCCATGCAGCGTGTGCAGTGGGATGCAGTGGGGCTGCAAGTGTTCATAGAGCAAAGGATCAGCTTTGGTAGGAATGGGCTGCAGTTTGCTTAGTAAAATTTAATGGACATATTACACTTTGACAACACAATTCAATGGAGGATAATGTGATTGCACACTGTACACAGTTCTATATGTGAGTGATGTCTAACATGTGGTGCTCTTGTATACTTTACCCTATATGTGTCCCCTCCCCTGCTCCTTCCCACCAAGTTAACTCCTCCTTTCTTGGAACGGGCCTCAGGGGGGCTGGAACGCATTACAGACTGCATGCAACGTACGTATTCAAGCTGTCTATTTGATATTTTGGCATATTCTTCTCTCTCTGCTCTGGAGTTCAGTGCAGCTGCAAAAGTGCATGTCCGTTCTTTTTCATAGCCTCTTTGCTTTCTGCCTGTACCTCAGTTACACCAAATGACATGAAAGTGTTCTGTGGAAGTGTGGAAAACTTTTCTACTAGAAAATAGTATTGTTAGAAATAACAGTATTTTAACCCATATATCTCCAAGCAAGCCGCCTAAGAAGTAAGTATTGTCCTGCTATGAGGGAGTTGATAGCATATTATACAGGAGGAAGAGCAAAAGCCTACTTAGTGAAGACTACATACTTGATGCCATAAAACTTGAGAAAGCTGAGAGAGTAGTGTCCCTGTCCTAGACTGTTAATGACAGCCCATGCTTCTCTTCATTGTTGGACTGTGGGAGGGCTTGTGCTGCATAGTAGAGCTAAATTTGCTGGCTTATGTACCGAAGCAATCCAGCAATAGCAGGTTAGATTTGGAAAATCAGCTTGCACAGTTCTTCACTTCCCCAGCACTCATTCTTTAGGATTGATTGTTTTGCCATAGAGAGCTAAAGAGGAACTATTAGGGAGAAAAGTAAGTACAGCTAGAATGTCTGCATTTTGGTGATGTCTGTCTTTACTTGGCCTTACAAAGCTGCTACAGCACTGGAGTGAGAGACAGTGGAGTGAATTAAGTGGATTTTTGTGTAACTGGTGTTAGAGAAAGAGATGATGTTTTGCTGGGAGTTGAGAATGTACAGCTTTGTTCTGTCTTGTTTTTTCTGATTTCTTTATGGTCTGAATGAGTAGAGAGGTAGCCCAACAAATGAGGTTTGCATCTGAGGCCTGATTTATTTCTCTTGCAACAGCAATGGAAAGGTAATAGAGGGAAATTCCCCTGGGAATACTCCTGCAGAGTCTGTGCTTACAGGACAATTAGGGCCCTCAGATTTATTTCAGCTGACCCAGCAGGTATGGTTGTTGTCATGGCACACCATCAAAGCTAGGTGGCTTAGCAGTACTGTGACATTGCATCAGTTCATGTTTCATGTATGGTGCAAAAGCATCTTGCGTGGGCAGCCATCAAAGTCAAGATAGTTAGATATGGTGTTGTAACCTCAGCCGTCTTTATTATATCATGTAATTTCACAAGCTGCGGGGATATGGCTGCACTGAGATGATGTGGATCTTTCCTGTGCTGGGATTCTGGATAATCATCAGAAAGGGCATGCAACCAACTCAGGAACTGCAGTCCTGCTAAGCCAGCCAAAGGAAGTGGTAATAACACAGAAATGGCTGTATCTTCCTTCCTCCTACAATCACAGCAGTTAAACTAATTCCTTTTAGCTCCATTAGCATGCTGCAGTTTTCATCATGCGCTCTCAGCATGTTTGTAATGGCAAAGATTGACATATCATCACCTCGTGAATCAAAGTATTTGTATTAGCCTGTGGATTTCCCTGATTTTCTCTATGGAAGTGCTGAAGAGAGCTATACTGCCTCTCTTGGTATCTCATAAGAGCTCTTCCTTGGTGTGTATGTGAAAAAGAGGCACTTCTGCTTCTGAGTGTCTCTTCAGCAGGTATTAAGAAGCTTGTTTTCCTGTGTGTTGTCTTTCTGCCGTTGATTCTAAGATGCTCTGCTATATTCTCCATTTCTGCCTTTCCAGTTACTGTTGGCCTTCAGGAAACAAAGGGCAGACCAAGGTGTGGATGAGGTGAATCTTGCATGCAAAAGCTCAGGTTTTTTTTCCTCTGTCTCAGCAAAAGCAGAATATTGTCCCTTGCAATACAGAACTTCCCTGTGGCTGTTGGAAGCATGCTAGTCTTCAAATGATAGCCAGCTCATTTCCAAAAGGGACAGAAGCCAATGGCTGTGTTCATAAATGTCATAAAAACAAGCCACAGGATGTGTTTTTATTCTCTCCTGTCATCCTGGTCTTTGCATACAGTTTCAAGGATCTGAAGATTCCGGGCACTCCCTTAGCTTCCTGGGGAGAGTTTTGCAATCTCTGCTTGTCCATAGGTGGCTCCAGGGGCTTGCCTTGTATTTTGGCTCCCAAAACTAAGCCAGACTTATTCCTAACCTCTTCTTACTCCCTCACAGTGTTTTATCCCACTGTGCATTGACCAGATGCTGTGACTGAATGCCAGGCTGCTTCTCAGCTAAGAATCAAATGATGGAGATAGTTTCAAGTAAAATCTTGGGGAAAATGTTACGCAGTTTATTCGCATCTCCCTACTGTGTGTGTTTGCTTGTTGTGAAGACCCAGATGTCTCTGGATAGGGGCTACCTTTCTAAATTGTATCCTCATTTGTAAAAGCTACCAGAGAAAGTTAATGGGGATCTCTCTTCTCCACTGAAGCTCCAGTGCTTGCTTGCTTTCTTGCAAATTTTTCATGTTGCAGACTCCCCTTCACTAGTGATTTAGATTACCATAGTGGTAAGGGGGGGATTTTGTTTTCAGGCTCCATAGCTACATTTTAGATGCAAAATCAGTCATACTGGAAAGTCAACAAGAATTTTCTCCCTTCTAGTTCTGAACAAAGAAATTTTCAGTGGCTATTTAAACATCTATCCTACCACTTTCTGAGACAAGGTCAGGGACAGTCTTAACGTGCGTTTTTTAAGGTACTTGGGTTCGTATTTCCCCATCAGCTAGAATGCCCCCAACTCACACCAGAATCTGGCTGCATGCAGCATGCAACTGTCCTTCTTGCCTTGCTGGAGAAGGAATTTAGGCAGCATCTGGAGATGTCTTCTGGAATAAGTCAGAGCAACGAGTGCCAGTGTAGCATGTCTGATTGTCTAATTTCAATGCACTGAAATGCTTTATTCTTGGGAGGAGAAAGGCTCAAGTCTCAGCTTCATTTCAGCATCGTTTCAGCTATCTTTCTTGGTACGCTCATCACATGGACAAAAGACATACTAGGTTAGTGCAATTTTTAAAAAATTCTTCTTTATAAAGAGTTTCATTTTCTTCCCTGGTTCTTGGTACCACTGAGGGATAACCCCTTTTCCACTGCTGCTGCAGAGCACCAGACACCACTTAAATGATATGACATAACAGCGTCTGTTCAGTGATGATCTGACATTGAATGTCAGCATTCTCTATCCATGCATCTTCAGCTGTTGCTTTTCCCCCTTCTCCTCCTCCTCTTCTCCTCTCTGATACTGTCTATTGTTGTCCAGAGTAAGAAAATGGGAGGCAAATATGTCAAATTTGTAATATCATGATGAGTAAGAAATGAAGCAAACTGAATTTGCCAGTTCCATAGTATTGCTTTTAATGGATTTGTGGTGCTTGTCTGCTGTGGAATTCTTGTGTATAAATCAACCATGCAAAAAGCATTAAATATTCTGAAAATACAGCACAGGAGTTCAGATCGTATAAATAGATACAGCAAGAATGTTGCATCTTGCCAAGGACATTTTCAAATAATGAATGTGTCTTGCATTAAATAAATTTGTTCCCTTTCTGAAGTTTAGAAAGGGAAGTTTCTGTGTTGCTATCACAGAAACTACCATGACAGCAGACACTCAGGCTGTTCTGCTGGTATCTTGAATGGGAGCCCCAGGGTCAAAAAGAGCATGGAGATTGTCTCTTGTGCTCTAAAGGGGATCCTTCTGGGATTAGGCAGAGTTTCAGCAACTGGTGTGAGGAGAACCAGAGCTACTGAGGGTATCCGTCTCCAGGAATGTCTTGGCTCCAATTGTTAATGCTGAAGGACATTTTTAGAATAAGTTAATCTCAAAAGAGCCTAGCTAAAAGGTGAAGACTGTAGAACCTGCATATTTTGCCTGCTTTAAATATGGCATAAGTGTGTGTCTGACTCTACAAGCAGCTCTGGCTCCTGAGCATGTGCTTGACAGTGTTGGTGAGAGCACCCACTTGTCGGGGGCCTGTGCTCCCTCTGTTCCAGGTTCTCCGAGCCAGACCCCAGCCACACGCTAGAGGAGCGAGTGGTACACTGGTACTTCAGCCAGCTGGACAACAACAGCAGCAATGACATCAACAAGCGGGAGCTGAAGCCTTTCAAGCGTTATGTGAAGAAGAAAGCCAAGCCCAAGAAATGTGCCCGACGTTTCACTGACTACTGTGACCTCAACAAGGACAAGTCAATCTCGCTTCAGGAACTGAAAGGGTGCTTAGGAGTCAGCAAGGAAGGAGGTGAGTGCCTTTCCTTCCTCATTGCATGAGAATAAAAAGACTAATCTGGAGTTACAGCAAGCTCAGGAGTTGGTTTTCTCCCAGGTTTTTCAAAAGTGCCACAGTCTGTGTGAGTAAATAAGTGGAATTAATACCCTGCTATGTACATGTAGTTCATTATTTGTGTTATGGCTCTGTCTTACATCCCTTACCACAGACCTTTGTGCTAACCATTATACAGAAACAGGGCAAAAATGTGAGCCTTGCCCAGAACCCTACTTGTACTGTAAGAAGTCCTTGAAACTGTAGTTCAGATCAGGTCCCTTCTGAGTAACACACTAGTAACAATATTTTGTTGTCTCAAACCACGTAGGTTGAATGATGTATAAGCCAGCACAGACCCAGTCCTTCTCCAGAGACCCTGTTGACTAGCAGAAATAATATTCATTCTCATTGCTAAATTCAGCATGCAGGAAGGTGGATGATGCAGAGGGAACAACTCAGAAAGCAAGTGCAGGGCTGTACTGTTGCCTTTTTTCACCGTTAAATTACACTTGAAGATTGGGGTATAAATAGGGCATATGAATTACATATTTTCCATTCTTTTTAGTGCCTGAGCAACCAACCCACCCGCCTTCTTTTTCTTCCTCTTTAATCTTCACCTCATCTTCTGTTAGGACCTGAACCAAATTGATATTTTTAGACATTTTATGAATTGAAACTCTTCAACCCAAATTCAATAATTATCAGTCATTCTTGACTGTGGACAGACTTGCTTGGCAGGAGAAGGCAAACAGGAAGATTCCAAAGGACTAATATCCTGTGCAGGTGTTTTGGCGGGGTGGACAGTTCTTGTTATAACTGTTGTGCAGGTTGGGAAGGGTGGGTATGTTTCTTACCTTATGGTTAACCTTAAGGTAAGAATAGGCTTAACCTTTCTTTAGTTCTTTCTTCAGGTTTAACACAAGAGGGGAGGGAATCAGTGCATTTAGGTGTTGGGAAGTTGCCTTTTCTAGGTGCTTTCTAAGCACCTTAGTTATAATATGCTTGTTGCATTACTTGTCAGCTGTGAGAAGCTGAATGCTTCCCTAGCTCAGTGGAAGTTTTTTTCTACGTCATTGGTACCTTGCTGAGGAATGACATACCAAAATAGCAACCCTGTTCCTTAATTTTATTACCTTCCCTATAAGATGAGTATGCCAAATGAGTTTTATTGCTCTTTGGCCTGGAATAAGGCTTTCTGGAATCTGCTGCCTGGGCCAACCAAGTGTTCAAAATTTAGTTTATGGAAGGTTAAAAAAAAAAAAAAGGCGAGAAGGCAGAAAATGTGAATCTTTGAGCCTGTGTGAAGGGAAAGGAAGGCAGTGAGACAGTGTGAGTGCCTGATTGCCCAACTATTTGTCAAGAACACAGCTTTGACCTTCCATGGTTTCTTCTGCTGCATGAGGACAGGTTTGTGCTCAAAAAACAGCTCTGACCTTCTTTTATCATACAGCTCCACATACCTACTGAAGGCCTGAGGGGCCTTGAGGTTCAAAGATAAATGGACAAATTATGTGAAAGAAGGACTGAGGGGGGCTAAAGGATAATGAGGGCTAAAAAGCAGTGGAGGGGGCAGTGCAGGGAGCAGGTACTAACTCTTATTAGGGACCGTAGTGGTAGGACAAGGGGTAATGGGTTCAGTCTTAAACAGGGGAAGTTTAGATTAGATATAAGGAAGAAGTTCTTCACAGTGAGGGTGGTGAGGCACTGGAATGGGTTGCCCAAGGAAGTTGTGAATGCGCCATCCCTGGCAGTATTCAAGGCCAGGTTGGACGGAGCCTTGGGCGACATGTTCTAGTGTGAGGTGTCCTTGCCAATGGCAGGGGGGTTGGAACTAGATGATCTTAAGGTCCTTTCCAACCCAAACCATTCTATGGTTCTATGTGGGAAAGAACTGAGGGAGAGTACTCCTAGAGGTACAGTAAGCAAGTTTGTAGATGGATCTTTTTTAAGAAGGCATGAATTTGTGAGGTGGTAGATGACATGTTGGCTCTAATTTTTATTCACAAGAAATCTAGAAATAACCAGTAACTTACCCTTTCTCCAGCTTTCCCTTATCCTGATCATTGATGTATGCAGTCAGCAAACTAGCCCGTGCATTTGCTCTCTGTTTCTTTGTATCATGGCCTCCAAACATCTGCTGAGGCTGAGGTCACTGTGGGTCCAAGCCAAGAACTAGTTGGGAACCTTTCTGATGACATACTTTCACTTGTAAACTGCCAGTCAGATGAAACCAAAACTTTTCATGGAAATGTTTCTGTTTCAACAAAAGCTTTGTTGGAAAGTTTTTTCTGGTCTGGATTGGATGAGGAAAGGTTGGAGGGAGACAAGGAAAATCATCATTTCCCCTTGATATACTTCATTTCAAATGAACTTGCCTCAGATGTTCCAAATCCTGGTTGGGTATTCAGCAGCATAAGGACTAAAATTAAATGGGTCCTCATTCCAGGTGAGTGCCTCCTGCCAGGCAAACTGAACACTTGTGATGATTTCGGAAAGAATAAAAATTTTGCAGGGTTTTGGATGCTGAGGAAAATAAACGTTAAGGCTTCCGCTTTGTGTTTGGGTTTTGGGTTTTGTTGTTATTGTTGTTGTGTTTTTTTGCTTTGGTGTTGGGAAGTTGGGGTTTTTTTTTTTGAATTTTGGTTTTGGTGGGGTTTTTTTGGGGGGGGGAGGGCAGCTCCATCCAAACATGGAAATAGTGTTGCGTGAAAGAAGCACAGGGCAAGATAAATCAGCATTGTCATATGCCTCTTGGGCACCAGATAGTCTAAATAAGTAAGATTCATGTGGAAGGGTTCAGCTGAGATATTCATAAGGACCAACCTGAATCTGAACTCTTTACAGCTTAGGATCAAACCTGAGATGTATAGTTCTGTCTGTCTTCCCCTCCTCAGCATGTTCTTGATGCCTGTGGTGACCTAACACGTGGTGCTGCCAGCCAGTGGTTCTTCAGTGAGGAAAATAGCTATCCAGTCTGCCAGCAACCCTTCCTCTTTGCCATCCTTATGATGACCCAGAAAGTTGCTGGGAAATCTGCTAGGTCTGGTGGCCACTTTGCACAGCTCTTGCCCATCTGCTTAAACCAGATGTGTTTCTGTCAGAGGTAACTAGGATGGAAAAATGTCATTCCTGGATCTCAGAATGGAGTAGCTGTATAAAGCCAGTCTTTGAAGACTTGCAGAAGCCTGCAAATGGTTTCTTAAACTGTGGCAGAACAGGAATGGGGAGCTTGTAGCTTGGAGCACACCTGAAACAGTCTTTGCCATCATTTGATCTAGGATTGTCTGCTTGAGGAATTGTGGAAGGAAAATAGACTGATTTACAGACTGTTAAAAGTTAGTATTCATCAGTGCAGTCTGCACAGCCTGAGTTAAGGGGGGAACCATCTGTGATCTAAGAGCAAATTTAGCTCTCTGCATTAGTCAAAAGGCAGGGTCCTTGAGAAGAGATAGACATGCATTTAAAGCTTGCTGGAACGTTACTGGACCTAAGATTAGTTGGAGTCCAGTGGTCTTGGAGAGGAGGACTGCAGATCAGAGCAAGGCTTATACTAGTTGTGCTGGCTGCAAAATGCTGGAACTGAGTTTTGCCTCTATATTCTTCCAAATTCAGAAGACAAAGTCAGCATTTTGTGCCTGCCCAAAGAGGAGCTAAGGGATTAAACAGTGAAGAAATGTCCCTCCACCAGCTGACGGAAAGTTTCCTTCTGCCAGTTCAGATCCCGTGATTGCTTTGCCATCCAAGAGCTTGTCAGATGGTAGGTGTTGGGTGCGCTTCACAGGCCATGAGGACTTCTGGAACCCAGACACGTTCTGTGCCAACAGCCAGCTACCGAGAGCACAGTCCGGAAACGGGATCAAAATGCCTTAATTAAAAAGAGAGAGAGAGTGTGCGTATGTGTAATTAAACAGCATGTCACTTTCTACTGGGGCTGAGCAAATACTACAGAAAGAAGGAAAATTAATAGACAATCTAACCAGCAAATTTAATTCATTGCTGTTTGGGACCCTTCTTACTGGTATCTGAAGAAGTAACTGATTCTCTGCATGCTTGGGAGGCTTCTCAGAATGAGGATGCTCTACATCACTGCTGTGTGAGCAGCTGTGTGGGAGCGGGTAGCAAGGAGCTATATATATATAGATATATACATAAAAATATATATCTAATCTAATAGATTAGAATGTAAATGAGGGCCACTGGTTCAGTGCTTGGTTTTGTTTGCTTTGTTCAGATATCCCCCTTTGGAGCTCAGTAGAAGGGCTATAGTTTGTCTACCTTTGATCCTGAGGAAAGTTGCTGATAGTTGTTACGAATCAGGACATCCTTATTGTGTTGGCTTGTGGTAACATGTTCCTTCCCTATCAAAGGTGAAAGCTTTACTTGGTAAGTCTGATCATTTCTGCCTAGAAGAAGCTGCCAGGGTTTCCTTGGCGGTCTTCCTTTTGAAAGACACCTGGCCTAATCCAGCATGGCTAGAATTGTTATCCAAAATAGCATACTTGTGAGGCTCAGCAAATACTCTGCATTAGAAAACATTCTGAATGATGGAATGTTACTCTGTAATACCCAGGGGCTTCCCAGGTATATGTCAATAACCCACTGTCACCATCTGCCATGTTCCTTCCTGTCTTTCATGTCAACTTTATGCTCGGTGCAGTGTTGTTTTGGAGGAATTTTGTCTTCTGTAAGTATACGTGCCTGGCCTGGATTTTATTGAAGGCAGCTGGCTGAAGGCAATACTCTTTCTTTGGAGTGAGAGGTGATGAGCTTCAGAGTAGTTTCCCAGCATGGATGTATGGTGCCACAGAAAGCTGCCCAGCCTGGAGCATCCCTGCCACTTTGGGAATGTCCCCCACCTTTTGCATCAACTTACATGGAGCTCCCACCTCTTTCTGAAGACAAATAGGTCTCATTCACAGCAAAACACTGTAGGCGCAGGTGCACTGAGTGCAAAACATGGGGTTTTTTTGGTATCTTCTTGCATACCTGGCTGTGCACAGCCCCGGCCCTTGGGGCAGCCTGGCCAGAGGGTACCATGGCTCATAATGCTCTGGAGTTTCAGTGCCAGCTCCCTGGGAGAGTGCCAATTAGCTCCAGAGGAATCTGCCTCTTGGCAACAGAGCTCTGCTTTTTATACATTGCTACAGAAATAAGTGAACAACAGTTCCTCTGATCTCACTGGGGCAGATGGCTGATCTGAGGTTGGCATTTGGGGACCTTGAAATAACTCACCATGTTTCTTCCTTTCTTCTTTTTCCTCCTTCCACAGTTTAGTTTAACCTTGTAATTGTTGCTTCTTGTCCACACCAATAATAGAAATAGTTTCTCTTATTAATGATCTCTAAAGCCAACAGGTTGTGCTTTGCAATCCACTTCAAACTCAGCCACTGCCACCTTTCTTTCCCCCTTTCTTTCCCTTCCCAGCGGTTCTGCTTCTGTCCTGCACTCCAGCCTCCCGTCCCCTGATGCTTCCCCAGTTCCATCCCTGCTCTCTGAGCTTCTGCTCGTCTTGCTGTTACATAGAGCAAAGCATGTTCTCGCTGCCAGCATGCAAAGTACTTAATGTGCAAAGAAAGCTGTGCAATCAGGTCAGATGCACGTACAAATCAAAGATAGGCTGGGTTGGAGTAGAGAGTGGCTACAGGCTTACTGCTTCTGGCGGCGAGCGGGAGCTCCCATTTCTGGCTAATCCCTCATCTGAAATCAGAGCAAGCAGCTAGCAGGAAATGTGACATGCTTTCTAGACCTTCTGTAATCCCTGAGCTGCCTGTACCCAGCGCATGGTAGGATCAGGTTTGCTGTTGAGGTGAGAGCCCTTGTTGTGAGCTCCATCTGGTGTCTCATGATGCAGTCACAGCTCTGCGCTGCCCCTGCCCTTCTGCCAGGTAGGAGTTAAGGTCTTTGATTTTAGGCACCTGTTTGATTGCTTGGTCCAAGGTGAAGATTTAGTAAATTTGGGCTACCTTCACTCTCTTCTGGCTTCCCCCTTTCTACATGGCATTATTTTGCTTGCTGTTAGCAAAAACTGTTTTGAGAAACTTCATGGCACTACTTGCACTCTTCCTTTCTCCTTCTTCCTCCTTCCGCAGTTTAGTTTAAACCTTGTAATTGTTGCTTCTTGCCCACACCAAACCTCTGGATTTCATGATGGTCAGCTACTACAACACCAGGTATTTAACACCTCTCATCTCAAGCACATTAGTCTGACACTTGCATGTGAATCTTAAGCAGTGCTGGCAGGACTTGCTGTGTGCATGCTCAGAGGAGCTCCTTTGAACCTGCCCTTGGGCAGCAGACAGCGGGGAGGCTCCTTTGTCATGCCACGGCCTTTATTGCCTTTAACGTGGTTCTTGGATTTTACAGGTAGCCTGAGCAGTTTCCCCAGTGGAAAAAGACAAGGCCTTAACCCTTTCAGTGAGTATCTTGTCAAAATATTTCCTTTTTTTCCTGTGGTAATCATGTGTCCCAAAATTCCTTCTCCTTTGCTCTCACGAAGAGCAATATAGAAACAGCTGGAAGCCAAAAGTTGTTCGTAAGAGGTGTGAATATAATAACACGCAGCTGCTGCATCACCTCGAAGTCCAGCACTGTGTCTTTAGCCAGGGTACTTTGCTGAGGAGTCAGAATAGGATACGGCAGCTATGTCTTTCCCTATTCTCCCTGCACCTAGCAAGCAGTGGTTTAGGTGATATTTTTGTTTATATTACTCCATGGACAAGTTCCCATGAAGACTCTTCTCTGTCCCTGTGAAGGTGTCTCCTCTGTATTTTGTGGCAATGAATCTCATCCTTGCATCAGACATGAAGAAAAACTTTTACTTGGTTTGCTTTTAGACCTGCTGCCTCATGGTTTCATTGGGTGCTTCTCATTTTGGACTGTGAGAAACAGTGAGCTGTTCTCCCCTGTCTTTCTCCTGCCACTTTTTGTTCTATAGCCTGCAACGTATGTCTAGTTAGACTCCTTTCCATGTTGAAGTCTTACCATACCTCTTGCTATCCTCCTTGCCTTTCTGGGTACCTTATCTGGTCCTAACGATATGGGCTGGCCTGAGAACTGAACATAGAGATCAGCTAAGCCTTACACGTTAATGTAGTGGTGCTTCCTGATATGTCCTTGGTTCTGAGCATGTATTTCATTTTTGCCTGCTGCTAAAAGCTGAGCGGAGGCATTCAAATATTGCATAAGACAAGAAGTAACAGCCTCAAGCTGCAGCAGGGGAGGTTTAGACTGGATACTAGGAAAAATTTCTTCACCAAAAGGGTAGTCATGCATTGGAACAGGCTTCCCAGGGAAGTGGTGGAGTCACCATCCCTGAAAGTGTTCAGAAACTGTGTAGATGAGGCCCTTAGTGATATGCTTTAGTGGTGGTCTTGGCAGTCCTGGGGTAATGGTTGGACTTGGATGCTCTTAAAGGTCTTTTCCAACCTAGTTGATTCTATGATTCCATGACTCTATACTGTGGCTTCAACATATTTCCTAGTCACTCAGTCTAGGACAGGTCATCCTTACTCCCCACTCATGTACCATGTTGCATGTATAGACACTGAAGTAAATCTGCTGGTTTATGAGCTGGTTATTGATTACTGTGAGTGCCTTTTGCAGAGCTGTGCAGTCAATTTCAAATCTGGAATAATTTTGCAGTTGACAACATTCATCCCCGGTGGCAGGGCATGTCAATTAACACTGATCCCAGTGAGGCCTGTCTTTCTCCTTCCAAAATCCAAATCCATACTTCTGCCTTCTCTTCTGCATGTTTTCACCTGTAATTAATCCACAGAGCTCTCACTCTGATCCTGTAAGAGCTTTGACTCTTTAAGAACTTTTGATGAAGGGCTTAACAGAAGCTTCCTGAAGAAACAAGGGGCGGGGGGGAGGCCTGTGCATATCTGTCTGAAATGCCAAGCAGCACCCTTGCACCATCCACTGGGACACTAATAGCTCAGCAGGTTGCTGGGACCCCCAGCTCCAGGCATGCTGTATCTCCACCACAGATGCGGTACCTTGGTGGGCTTCAGAGAGCCTGGTACAGGCAGGTCTCTGAGAACCATCAAGCAGGGAGAGCACTGCATTGTGCTGTTGCAGAGGTGGGGAGAGGTGGCTTGCCCATGTCCTGCTTGCCTGCTAGGGGAGTGGGCATCTGGCTGCAGCTCAGGGAGGAGATGGTGGCCAGGCAGCCTGGCAGGTGGAACAGCAGAGGGAGAGACGTCGGTCCAGTTGTTTTCCCAGTCTGCATGCCCATGTCCAGGGAGCGGGAGGGAGAGGAAAGTGGTGGTTTATGTTTAAAAATAAGTCGGTCCCTAGGGCTCCGTGTGACTCATTCAACACTTTTTTCAACAACGCTGTCTCATTAGCCCCTGGCTGTTTTCAGCCTCACAGCTTACCCTGGGATCTCAGCCTTCTGGGGTCATGGCTGCAGCAGAGGCTGTACTGTATCTTTACCAGTCAGGAGCCCCCTTGGTTTTAATTTGTCTTTTTCTCCTCACTTTCCCTGCTTCTGTTTTGTTCTTTTTTCCCTCCTTGCCCACCCCACTCTCTCAGTAGGTCGCCTGGTGTAGCAGCAGAAGACGGGAAGGGAAGGCAGGAGCCGACCCAAAGGCAAGAAAGATCCAGCAACAGACAGACAGACACCTTGCTGCTCGCGAGCAAGCATGCATCATCAGCAACATCCAACGTAGCAGAAGTGGCACCCAGAACGTTTGCACTTTTTTAATAATTGGTTTGGGTTTGGGTTTGTTTTTAATTGCTTTTCAATGCCATTATCTAATACTTTGGAGAGTGGGGGGAAGCAGGATCATGTCTTTTTGAAATTGGAACAGCTACTGATGCCGTAAAATTGAGTTCACTGGGACTCAAAGAAAGAGAATTTTATATACTGTATATAAATATATATGTAAATTGTACAGTTGTCTTGTACAGGGGTTGGAGTCACTGTTCTGTTCCTCCCTTTGCTTTTGAAGGCTGTTAGGGTTAAAGGGACACTTTGCATGTAATGGGTTACAGTAATGCATTCATTTCTGCCACCACACCATCATTCAGTTGCAAACCTTAACACCCACATGCAAAAAGGAGCAAATATGTCAGCATGGCATGTGCTTGCAGGTGTGCATGCAGTGCCCCATATACTACATGCTTTTTGGGAGCAGCTGAACCCATCTTTTCTTACTGCAAAGCCCTGTGCAACTCACAGGAAATTAGGCTTTTGAGAGAACACAAGTTTCACCTAAGTATTGGTGTACTGCAAAGCTGCTTAACGTAGGGCTAGAAAAGGGTTGTATTAAGGATGTACAAAAGTAGTTTCTGCACCAGCTGCAAGCTGGGCAGAAGTGAATTGCTAATGCATTACTATTCAGGCTCAGAAGACATGCTTAGCCATGCCTTGGGAATCTAACACTGTAGGAGGAAGCGGGAGCCAAAGGCCTAGTAGAGTCAGCGGAGTGAAGTCTTGCATCTTCCTCTCTGGCAAAGTGTTCATCTGTATCTTGTACAACAATAAAGATATTGAGAGGCCTGCTAAAAGCAGCATTAGCCTGCCTGTTGCTTTGCTGACAGTGCAGAAAGACACAATCATGCAGCTGGTCCCCAAGAGTCTGTTTTACTTACGTTTCAATACTACAGCTTGGGCTGTGCTCACTAGTGAAGGTCTGTCTGCAGTGACTATCCTTGTCTTTAGTGGCTGTGAATCCCAAGCTCCTCTCCTGCATAGTGGTGTGCCTGCCTAGCTTAGAATATCCGCTTCACACCGTGCACTGTCACCAGTACCTGCTGAGTTATCACACTCCAGTGTCACAATAACAGTGAAGGCTTGGACTGAGGATCCTGGTGTTCTTGGAGGCTGCAGGGCTATTTCAACTACCAGCAGTTTTTCCAAAGTAGTTTCTTACTTAATCTCAGATGCAATTGTAAAGTCAGCAGTAGGGCAGGGAAACCCGTATTGGCAATCCTAGGTTTGGGCAGAGTGTGATGGGACAGTATTTTGTTTTGTGCATTTCCAACCACTGGCAGCACTTGCCTGTTCACAGGAATGTTCTGAGCAGCCTCCTACTTCAGGCCTAGTGACCCTTGTGCCATTCATGTCTGTAGTCAGCGATGATGACGTGCCATGCTAATGTGAGATCATACCAACAATTGCTTGTAATAGCATTGCGCTACTGTAGAGACTGGGCTTGTCCCTTGAGGCTTTGTTGCTTTGGTAAAAGATGTTGCACCACAGCATCTTCACTCTGGCATGATATCATGATGATAGCATGAGATAAACGCATCACAGCAGGAGTGTCCTGATGCACTAAGTTGGCAAAATGGGAAGTTTAAAAAACAGAAAAACTAAACAAAAAAAATCTTTCTATAAATAGCTACTAAGTGATAACTCTTCTTTTGGGAAGTAGATTGCAGCTAATTAAAGCATTTGGCATGGTTGAAAACACCTCTGGTAATCTCTGAAGTATACATCACAGCACCAAACTATAAGGAAGTCGTCTTTTTAGCAAGAGCAGATCCTGCTGCTGGATCTTCATGGTTTCTCACATACAATGTATGTATGTGCTCTTTCGGCCTGTAAGATCCCATCTTCTTGATAGCATCTTCTCTTTTTGAATGCCCAGGGCACATCTTTTGTTTGTTGAAATTATTTGGTTTAGTGTATAGTTAGAAATGTCCCTGTCACTCATTAATCCTATTGTAGGAGTAAAGAATGAATCCAGCTGTAAAAAAACCCAAAAACCAAAACCCTCTCCTTTTTTAATATGTTAGTTTTAGGAATTAAAAGCTGAGGCTGCTGGGCTGGTGTTTGGTCTTTGGTGGGTTGTTTTGTTTTGTTTATTCTTTATGTATAGTTGCGTCCATCAAAAGCAGCCAATTGGATGCCCATAGGAGTTCTGTCAGCCAGCCACTGGGGCAGAGCCATGCTCCACAGGGGTGCCAAGGGAGTGCAGAGCTGCTAAAAGTCACCGCATCTTTTCTTCTGAAAATGTCAGTAAACCAGCCAGCCAACAGCCAACTCTCCTGCCTGTCGCATAAATCCTTCTGCAGACCTCCTTTACCTCACCCTTGGGTCCTTCCCCTCCAAAAGGCCTGCATTTACATGTAGTTTGCAATTAAAATTGGGCCGGTTCTTCAAGGAGGCCAAACAAGGTATGGCTGTTGATACCAGCTTTGGTATGTGGATTCATGTTTCTGTGCTCAACTTTATGGATAGATTGAGGTCCAAGCATTATAATGCTTTCCCCTTCACTTTCGCCAAACAAGTCGAAGTCTCTATATCCTGACTTGCTGGATTTGCACGGGCCTCTGAGCAGCTTCTGCTAACACTTGTACATTGGCATGCAAGACCCAACCAGCATGATTGTGTGATGTCCAGATGGAGGTTAGGTTATGTGGTCTGGGTTTGTATGTTGGAAGATCATGCAGACTGTACTGGTCCTGATTCATACAGCCTACCCTGTGAGCTTTCCAAACAGTCTGTACTCATCAGAAGAGAGCAGTGCATCCGCTCCCCACTTCCCTTGTTACTTTTATTGCCAGGTGTTTGGCTGCCAAGCTAAACATGTCCTTACCCGGCAGTGGTAAGCATTATTTTCTGCCTTGCATCAGTAGCATCCTACTGAAGCTGGGGCATGGGGAGTGTCAGCATTGTGCCTGGAAGCAGACCCTAAGCATGTCTCTCCTCATCCTCGAAGTCCTCCTGGGCCTCTCCAGCTCTACTTTGAATGACAGCTGAAAACAGCTGGAACAGAGAAGAGAACCAGGGCTCCATAGCGCAAGTCATCTGTTCTTCCTGCCAGAAGCAAAAATCTTTCCTTTTTTGCCGATCCTCCAAGGACATAGTGTGTCGGAGGGAACTGCATTACGGTGGGATTCATCCATGTGAAGGCACTGCTTTCCATGGCCTGAGTTTATATTGAACTTACCCAGCCCCAGCACATTTCTGCCTATGGCATTGTTTGTTAGACTGAAAGGCATCTGTTTGATTTTGGTTTTGTAATAAAATAGATAACTTTTGCTCCAGTGTTTTGTGGTGGTTTCTTGTTGCATCCTGATTTCCAAAACTTCTCTATTCCACATAATATTGTGACCTACACAGTGACAAAGGAGAGGGAAGGGGACTTTCCTGCTTGCAGTCATGTGTCAGGCTTTGGTTGGGATCTGAGTTCACTGAATGTTTCTCTCCTGTGTGTAAGCCTCCAGGATAAATTAAAACATGCCACAGGATACTGCTGCGTGGTGACAGCTCCCTGAATCTGCCCAGGCTGCTTAGAAAGGCTGTGAAGCTTCAGCAGAATAGAGTTGACTGCAGAAGGTAGGATCCACAGCCAAGTGGGATCTCACAGCACAGTGTCCCTAAACCAGGGATAGAAGACAGGCACTGCACTTCACATCTCCTCATCCCCTTTCACAGGGGAGCCTTCATACTTTTGCGGGCCAGGTCTCTCTACATGGGAGCCTGAAATACTATCTTCTAGCTGTTGTCCAAAACTTTTAATCGTCAGAGATGACAGGTAACAAGCTATGCTGGGAAGCTGCTGCTGTTGTATAACAAGCTTTTTATTCTAGGCTATGGGGAGGTAACATTCATCAGAGGCTGAAGCACCAGGTCCACAATGGAAAAGGCCACAAACTGTTCCCATCAAGCAAATATCACCAGTTTTCTCATCACTGTCTATGTCATTTCACTTGATCACATGTAAATCTCTTGCAGTTAATAAGGAGCCAACTCATTTGTTGCACATCAAAGGGAAGACAACTGCAGTCCCAAAGGGAGGTTTTCTGCTTGTATAGTAGTCACAGGCTGGGTTGTTTGTAGACGGGTAGAGAGGGGCCTTAATAGACTGTTGGTTTTAGATGCAAGTTCAACGATGAAAGCAGAAAATGCAGGGATGAGTGACAGCTGATGTGGATTTGTCAAGAATAAACTGTCAAACTGAGCTCATTTCCTTGTACTACCAAGGTAACAAGTTTTGGGGCTAAGGGAGAAGCAGTAGTCTCCACCTCTGGAGTTCTGCAAGACTTAATTAAAAATAGGAAAAGAATATTAAAAAAGAAAACCAAAACCAAACCAACATTAAAAGAGAGACAAATCAAAAAAACTACAAAGAGCTTGCTTCTGCTTCTGCTTCCAACAGTGGTATTGCCAGAAGACTTTTCCTCCTTTCCCACCTCCTTCCCCTTTTCTTTGACATAACTAGCAAAATCCACATGCAGAATGACGACCTTCGACTTCTCAGCAGCCAGCCCTTACAAGCCTTTTCAGGCAAAATAACTTGGGAATCCTCCAAAAGCTGATATTATACTGGACAGCGGGATCTGCAGACGAGGTGCTCCTTAGTTTGGAAAACACCTTGAAAACAAAGCGGGTTATAAAACCACCACCTCAGGAACTGGGAGTGTAACAACAAGTGTTTTGTTTGGAGTGTTTGCCAGAAAACCTGGGGCTGGCTGCTTTGGGAAGCAATGGTGCTTTCTGCCATTCTGCATCTGAGGGCCTGCTTACTGATTTTAATGGGTTTTGTTTTTCAAAGGTGTGTGCCTGTGTGCACCAGGAGGTGTTTAGTGTTCATTCACAAAACACCACCAGCTCTATGCTTTGTTGTAGTGCAAACCTATATCCCCACCTCCTGCAAAAGCATAAATGAACATTTATTCCACATTATGATTTATTCTTTCAGCACATTGGGACTGGGCTGAGAGTCTGAAGACCAGAATATGTATGCGGTGTGGCTCCTGCAGAGGTTGGCGTTTCCA